GGGGCTGCTGCTGCTGCTGCTGTTGCTGCTGCTGCTGCTGCAGCAGCAGCAGCAGCAGCAGCAGCAGCGGCCCGATCAGGGGCCCCACACCTGCTGCCGAGACCCTTGCTGCAGCACACTGCTGTGGCCGCTGCTGCTGCTGCTGCTTTACCTGCGGCGTGCTGCAGCAGCAGCAGAATAAATATATTGTTTATTTATTTTCCTTTTATTATTTCGTTTTAATTACCGCATGCAGCAGCAGCAGCAGCTACACAACATACTGCAGCAACTGCTGCTGCTGGAGCAGCCAGCAGTGGTCCTTGTCGGCAGCGGCCTCCACACTGAATCTCAGCAGCAGCAGCAACAGCAGCAGCAGCGGCAGCAACCGCAGCAGCAAAAGCAGCATCAGCAGCATTAGCAGCAGAAACATTAGCAGCAGCAACAGCAGCAGCAACAGCAGCAGGAACAATCTTACGAAAAAACTGCAGCAGCAGCAGCAGCAGCAGCAGCAGCAAAGGTTGCAGCAGCAGCTGCTGCTGCAGGAACAAGTTTTGTTCGAGCCCTAGCGACTTCGCTGCTGCTACAGCTGTTGCTGCTGCTGCTGCAGCAACTGCTGCTGCCGCTGTTGCTGCAGCAGCTGCTGCTAGCTCTGCTGCTGCGATTCCCCCTGCTGCTGCAAAGCCAGGGGCCAGCAGAAGACACACGGCCACGGCACCCATGCAGCAGCAGCAGCAGCAGCAGCAGCAGCGGCAGCAGCAGCAGCAAGAACAACTGCAGCAGCAGCCATAGGAACAGAAGCAGAAACAGCAGCAACTACAGGAGTAGCAGCAAAAACAGCAGCAACAAGAGAAGCCGCAGCCGGAGCAGCAACAGCAGCAACTGTAAAAGCAACAGCAGAAACAACAGCAGCAACAGCAACAGCAGCAATAGCAACAGCAGCAACAGCAGCAACAGCAGCAACAGCAGCAGCAGCAGCAGCAGCAACAGCAGCAGCAGCAGCAGCAACAGCAGCAGCAGCAGCGCGAATGCCTGAGTCTGCCTCAGGATGGCTTCTCTGCTGCGGAGGGCAAAGCCGGGGCCCCCCACCCCAGCAGCAGCAGCAGCAGCAAAACCAGCAGCAGCAAAGCCTGGAGCAGCAGCAGCAGGAGCAGGAGCAGCAGCAGGAGGAACGAAAGGGAAGGCGCCTCTGACCCTCAAAGAAAGACAGCAGCAGCAGCAGCAGCTGCGCGAGAGGCTGCTGCAGCAGCAGAAGCAGCAGCAGGGAAAGCCCTTCTCTGCCCCCAAACTAAAAACAAAATTCGTGTCCAAGGTGAAGCAACCTATTGCTGCATTAGATGCTGCTGCTGCTGCAGCAGCAAAGCAGGAGACCCCAGGTGCAACGCTTGTTAGTAAGGCTCCTGCTGCTCCTCCGAAGGAAG